TCAAATTGGGAGAGGCCGTGATGCACTGCCTGCCTCCAGGCTGAATGTTCAGATGTCAAAGTTTCCCATCTGTTGAGGTCCATTCCCAAGGCCTTCAAATCCCGCTTGCAGATGTCCTTGTATCGCAGCTGTGGTCTCCCTCTGGGATGATTTCCCTGCACTAATTCTCCATACAGGAGATCTTTTGGAATCCGACCATCAGCCATTCTCACAACATGCCCAAGCCAACCTAGGCTTGAGCACATAATAATGGGATCAGATTACAGGAAGCCAGATTTAGGCCGAATATCAAGAAAAACGTCTTAACTGTTAGAGCAATATGACAATGGAACCAATGACCTCAGGAGGTAGTGAAGGCTTCAGTGCTGGAGGCAGTCAAGAGAAAATTAGACAACTGTCTCTCAAATCTGCTTTGATTTGCATCCCTGCCTCGAGCAGGGACTTCAACTCAATGGCCTTACAGGCCCATTCCAACTCAATTATTCTATGATTCTGATAGCACCACAATAATCAATGGTGTTAAGTAGAACTCTAAAATACATGATTTCTGTTCACAATAAAAATCTCATGAGCCTGCTCGGGCACTGTGAAGGAGCAGGGAACAGCATGATTCTACTCACTGATAAGTATGAAATGGGGGCAGTGTCAATTTGCAAGATATATTAAACATGCACGATGCAATTTAAGATCACTTATAAAACAAACCTCTCTAGTAACTATACACAGCCCCAGTCCACATCAGGGCAAATGTGTGCTGGTTTGGGGAGAAAAACCTTCTCTCCAATCTGTTTTTAAATAGAAATATATACACAACTGGAAGTTTTGTAAAAGTGAGAAAAGTGATCTATGGTTGAATGGGACATGATCCAGGGAAGCAAAATTACTTGCAATTGAGAATCTAGAAAAATGGATTGCTTATCCTTAGAGAACAGAAGTTAAACCCACGGCTTCATGGTATGTCATTAAACTATTTGCATGTCTTGTCAAGAGGCTGGGGTTGTAATGACCCAGAAGGGGTCGTCATAAATTCGAGTCAACTGAATGACACAAAATTATAATGAACGATTATTAGGTCTTCTACAGCCGAAGAAAGGCAGCGCAGAAATAAACGGAAATGAAATGAGATAAGGTACTAATCTAGAACCATCTGGATGGCTGCTGGAGTTCCTGGAGGGGCGTGTGCGCAGAAACAAAGAATGCGAAAGGCCTGGGTTCTAACACAAAGAGGGCTAGGATACAAAATGTATTAAATAAAATTAATATGGATATTGTATTCTTGCAAGAAACTCATTAAAAAAAAGGATGGTTTTAATGAATTGACGGGCAAATGGATTCAATGGTTGTTGTGGGTTTTTCGGGCTCTTTGGCCATGTTCTGAAGGTTGTTCTTCCTAACGTTTCACCAGTCTCTGTGGCCGGCATCTTCAGAGGACATCACTCTGTGCTCTGGATTCAAATTTATTAAAAATCGTTTGGGACTTCAAAATCTCGGGGAGTAGCAATATTAATATCAAAAACATATGAATTGAAGATCAAAAAACTGGAAAAGGATCTCGAGGCAGATATTTGATATTGCAAGGTAAAATAAAAGAAGAAGACATTACACTTGTAAATGTTTATGCACCTAATGAGAGACAGGAGGAATTTTTTGAAAATATATTTAGAAGCATGGATAAATTGAGGAAATTAACAGGAGAGTTTAACATGGTAATGCATATGAAGAAGGATAAATCAAAGTTGCAAATCAGGGAAGGGAAAATTAAATGTACAATATTAAATAGATTAATAAAAAAAACAGATTTGAAAGATGTATGGAGAGAATTAAAGGACGATGAAAGAAATGTTTTCTTCCACTCACAGGTGCATAATACATATTCAAGAATATACAGTGGTGCCCCACATAGCGGCGATAATCCGTGCAGCAAAAATCGCTGCAAAGCGATTTCGTCACTATGCGGTTTTAAAAAGCCCATAGGAATGCATTGAAACCCCTTCAATGCATTCCTATGGGCTTAAAACTCACCTTTAAGCGAAAATCCTCCATACG